ACAATGGCGATAACAACCAGGTTGGAGAGGTGGATAGTAGTCAACAGTACCAGTTCAGCAGTTTACTCACATCCTTATGATCGAAACTCCGGTACGGTTGAATTAAAAATAGCAGCATCAAATTGTGTTGTCTCTTTCGTGCTCATTCTTCCATGCAGCGTGTCCTTTTGGAGCATTAAAGTGGCCATCAACCGCCATCATCATCATCATCATCATCATCAAGAAGCACCAAAATTTACCATTCAGGCCGCAAAGTTGAAACGACCCTTCACTTTTCAACATGCGTACTGTTTTGTTTTTGCGTGAGGATATTTGGCCTCCTTGAGGACCGCATTCAGGTCTAAATGGAGGTGGAATGCTACTACGCGTATCTCAGTGTTTGAGAAAACGCTTACCACTTGTAAAGCACACGAGGCAATTGAAACCAAAAGGGTCTTATGCTATTTAGTTGATGCACGTACTATTTCAAACAATGTCTTCAGGCCATCCTCAATCTCGCCTGCCTTCCAGTGAGGGCTCTTACGTTCGGTGCTTTCCAAGGTTCTCGGCTGTGTACCTCAATTTTTGGAAGGTCATAAACAAATATGCCCTTCTAAGTCCCAAAACAGCTGCTTCAAGTTCCATTTTGCAATTGATGCGTATTTAGACGATAACTTTAGCCATTTTTGTAAGGCTCTTATTTCACCAGCCATGTGTTCTTATGGTTTGTTGTACAGCGATATTATTTCGTTCCTCTTCCTGCAAAACAAACGAATGTGTTTTACAACTTGATGTAAACTCATTTTGAGCTAGAAATTTGTTTTCATATGATCCCATTGAATCAATTTGGCTCTTCACGATTACAAAGTATCTTTTGAGTCAGCTTACGGTTGATCATATCCGTGCTTCATGAATTCTGTCCTCTCCTTGCAACCATAAGCCTCTGAGTTTCAACTCTTCGAAGCTGTGGACGGAAAGTTTCCTCTCACGCTTTTGGCTTGTATAAAAAGCTTGTGAGCGTTTAAAATGTCAGCTCCCTAAGTTTCCCGATTGTCAGAGAGTAGGAATTTTTCTACTTTTAAAGTAGAAAAGTCAAGCTCTAACATTGCACCACACGAGCAGTTCGTACTTAAAATTCTCAACCCAGACGTGCACTGATTTTGTTTAACATACGTGACTTTATTATCAAATTATCCGAGATGTTGAATGCCACGTATTTATGGGTTGCATTACTTTTGTTTGTTAATTTCACATGTAATACTTTACAAAGTACATGATCAAAACGGATTAGGTGCATCACTGCATTGCAAGTAGGGACGCAAGGGTATGAGGACAAGTTGAGAACTGGAATTACCATTTCGCAGTGGTTACAGCACGTCTCAACTGCCTTGCTGCCGGCTTGGTGAATGGGACAGGTCCGGGATGAGGAGGGAGGTGCCGACGTGAAGGAAGGCGTTTGATTCAGACCTTCTTCCTCCGACTGCTCTGCACTGGACGAGAGAAGGTCCAGGCTTAGCTCATTCAGACGCTGCAGGATCTCCTGCAGATTGCTCTCTGACTGTTCAATGGCCCTTTCGAGATATACCGACTCGTGAAGTGAAAGCATCCTTTTCCGACGTTCCCGGGTCTTTTCGTGACACTATAAATCAGTGAGCAATAACACCAAGACAAGAAATAGTGTAGATGTTAACTAGACAAATTCACACTGAGTCCTTTTTGACATCTAACTTGGTCAAAACAAAAGAAGCCCGTGATAAAAGGCAAGATGACATTATCGAGAGAAGCCGAATGAACTTTGTAACATCAAAAACGCTTTCATGTACAAGTTGAAATACATAAATCCAACAAACTTGTTTATTGTCTGAGTTAAGCATGAAAAGGAAGAAAAACGTGATGCCAGCAATCGCTTCCCTCCAGAAAGTACATTTTGCCATTGACGGACAAAGTATTACAAGCGAAGATTGCTTATGGGTTTGAAGCAATTCAGGAAAGTTTGGTAAGCAATCCTGTTCATTTGTTAGCGAAATTCTTATTTTGATAAACTCAGGAGCTAAACTAGTGATGTGCTAAGCTCAGGTTCCACAGTTATCATGAAAGAGTTCCTTTTGCAAAAAAATCCCAATTCGTATTTACGGAGTTGCCAACAGACTGTTGCACAGCTTGCAAAACGCCTAAAACTGACCCTGAAGAATTCATCAGTTAAATGAGCTACCAGTATCGGCTACAAAAAGAAGTCATCGCAGCTACTGTGTGTCTTGTCGATAAAGCTGAGCGTTCATCTGTC